GGGCTGTTCGACAGCATCTTCGAGTAAGGAACTTTTATTTTTTTCATGCACGATCAAGATAATTAAAAGTCAGCAAATCATTACCATTTTCGGTGCATAGTCAAAATATATATTTAAAAAAAACCATTAACTTTTTCGGAGGAAATAAAGTTAATATTTCGTCGTAAACTACGTTTTCAACAAAATACAATATATTTTCTAATTCCGACTATATCCTATTGAAAACATTCCCCATCGTTCCGTAAGCTTCTATCTTTATTAGAATAAACATCACATCGTGACAACGGCTAACCTAATAATTGAAAAAAGTTTACTTTTCTCATGGAACTCGTGAAAATACCAAAGAAGCTCGTCAAACGGGTTGTATTATGTCAGTGTAGATCAAGGGTTAAAAAATAAAATTATTTGAAATAGTATTTTCCAATAAATCCCCCTAAACTGAACTCCTATTGTCCAAGCGCCGAAGACGTGATTTCGAGCAGTTTTCAAGACAAACAATAAGAAATATTTTGCAACACTCGCGCGATCGGTTTATCGAATTCGATCAAAACAACTTAGCCTTGGACCAAAACGGCACGCGAGATCTATTTTTCATAAACCCGCCGGGCCGGGAGTCCGCAGATAATGAAATCGGCATACCGCCGTCTCTGCCCCGGTTTCCTCTTATACTTACCGGAAGCAACGTACGGTTCGTATCCGGTCAGGGTGCGGCGCGCACACACAACAAAGCGCGGCGAACACGGTTGCCAAGTACGTTTGTACGCGCGCCCCGGGGGTAGTCGTCTGAGGCAATGGATAAAAAGTTAGACAAAACGATCATTCACCCCCGCTGTTTCTAAATAAAATAAAATAAAATCCCATCCAATCCTCCGTTGCCGTTGTCGTTTCATTCATAGCGTACTGTAGTAAACGATAAATTACCAGAAGATTACCGGATTGGAATCCGGCCAATTTTTATTTATATATATATCTATACAGAGTTCATATAGAATAATTATACGTCGGGTATTTTGTTTTTTTTTTCATTTCGTACGTCCGTCAAATGGCCAACGATAATTTTAATTTTTTTTTTATGGGAAATTTTTTGTTTTCTTTTTACGATGCAGTTTCGATCACGACCTCGCCGGCGCTATATTATTATGGTCACAAACAACTGTAGGTACTAGCCCCGTTCGCAGGTTTCAAGACAATTACCGTGTGGCTGTGTTGTTGTAATATTATACACGATAAATTGTATTTGCCTAACGAGCAAACTCGATATAGAGCATTGATAATCCAATTGATTATTCCAAACCGTCTAAATTTATTCTTTCTCAACTCCGCGATAATATACGCCATAAAATACGCCAATCCACGCATTTAACCTGACTATGCTAAACTTGTGTCACACAAAACTTGCGGAATATTTCGCACCCGGTTAAGTTAGGACTATACTTTAAAACTCTTAACGCGACCTCCGAGCTGTGTGCGGCGTGACGGAGCTGACCCGGTGTATTAAATATGCATACAGCATGTGTACTATACAGGCTGGTGGTGCGCGCATTATGATATAATGCGAAATGGCACTCCGGTGAATACAAGCGTTTCGAATGTTATTTACAAAGGAATTCCCACCGCCTTGTCGCTCTCGGCAGGCCCGGATTGGGTTGACAAATAAAATATTCAGTCGTTTCTTTTGTGTTGTTAATGTTGTAAATTTAATGAAGCAAATAATACAAACGCTCGTACGCCGGTACGTTAAATATTTTATTATCATCGCGCCCATTCGTAAACAATTTTGTGTTTTACGACGAAAACAAATCTCAATTTGTTCTCTCGAAAACAGTGTACTTGCGCGTCAACCAAACAGGTCAGTCTGAGGTCGTCCCGGAAAGGAGAAAGCCGAGAAAAGAACTCTGTCGACCAAATTTATCTGCTCGATTTCGATCGCCCAACGTGGTCTGGTCATTTTCGGTGTCGTGCCGCCAATGTCGATTTCGGCAGCGAAAATGATTCTTAAATAAACGAGACCGTTCAACAACAAGACACGGTGATTTGTCTGTCGCGCACAGGTCGTGTGTGGACTTGTCAAAGGTTTTTGTTCGTGACACGTGCAACCGAAACAACACAAGCTGCCTAGGAGTTCAGTCGTGGCAAATTGAGCGACAAATTAGAAAACCCCTTCGTCCGGGGGCGACTTCTCCCGTCGTTTATTCGTTTTCAGCGGATCAAACGACTTACGTTGACGCGAGCAACCGTCTATAACGACCGGGTCGTCTATGCCAGCGCCTTTTAACATATTCGCCGTAGCCAAATCCACCGGCTTGTCCGTTAAAGGTAATTCAATTGCCTGTTAAAAGCAATTTCCCGGGCAGTTACACTGTACACTATTGCCGCCAGGTTACCGAACCCGCAAAGTGTTCGGTATGTATTTGGAAGTATGTGTTTCAAAACGCCATCGTTGTCATCGTGCGATATTTTTATTATTTTTACAACGGCTTAAGACGCCATTGATCAAACAAAAGAAGGACTACAGCTGCGATATAGGATTCAATGATTATTTAACGGTGTTATAGATCATTTCTGCCACCGAGAGGCTTTAAACTAAAACGACCTTGACTATCGACTCGAATGTTGAACAGTTGACTTTATATTATTATAACACGTGCCAGGGGGTGTACGTCGTTATTATTAGTGTCACATGTAATAATTGACACGCGTTAGAAACTGTCGGAAACAACGACGTTTCCGGCACACAACCATGGCGAATGTGTACTATAATAGAACCCAGAATGACGCCGGTTAGACAACTCCAATCATAATAACCGAACAAAACGATGGAGACTATGCAATTCAGCTACGTGTACAAAATTAATTATCAGTCGAGTTTACCAAAGAGTTTAAAATCACAGTCTCATAAAACAGTAAAAATTATTTGTTTTCAACCGTTTTTCGAAAATTCGGTTTTTTAACTTTTCACAATGGATAGTAGTAATTATAACTGAAGTACAATTTACAGCTAGTTGACCAGACTTGTTGCGGTTTTCCGGTAATGTTTAGATGCAATATTTTATTACTTTTCATGACTTTTGTAATACTTCAAATAATAATTATTGATCGCCGACAAGCATGACATCGCTCGAAACACCGCACAGATATTTAAAGGTGGCCTAAATTGTGTTTTAGTCTAAAATAAAAAATCACCGCTTTCGAAGAGAAGCTATGATGAAAACAAATCCATCTAAAAGGGGAGTGAGTCTAGACGGTGCATGAGTTGAACATTATCGTATATATAGTCTATAATATGATAATAAGGATTGTGTGTACATACTGTGAGGATGAAAAAACATAAAATATAGTCTTCCACGATGTGTTGTCAATACGGTATTATCGTTTTCGAGGAAATCAAATACGCATAGGTACTTAAACGCTCTGTTCATCAGGCCAATGTCTGCCACGCGTGCAACAGACTCGAGGTATAAAACGGCGTTAAGGTATGGCGCTTATTCCGCTTCGATATATTTTCCAATGGTAAAAATAATGGCCCTTGGTAACGTCACGTTTTGGCGTTTGCATCGGTGCCGAAAATATTTTTGCATTGCCACGATAACTGGTGCGAGGGAGCTGTAAGAAACCAAAAAACAAACACCTCGGATCAATATAAAGGTCTTAGACGACGGTATAATTGATTTTCGTCCTCAAGTGGTTGAACGTGTTTGGCAATAACAAGTTACGGCCAAACGTTTGTATTACACGCGTATACTACGGGTAAACGTTGAGCATTCCAAAAGTGATATGGCGACAATTAACGGGCAAACTTGAGCTTGTAAAACAGTTTGTAGGTAATTGACTTAAAATAATGAATATTTAAGTGGCTAACGTATCAGAAACACCAGCCGTCTACGGCTGCGTTATATTTAAGTGACTCCAAGACGGAAAAAATAAACTGTCTGTCAATATTGTGTTTTGGAAACATAATTTTGCGATACTATACGAGCAGTTTTATTTTCATTCCAGTCTTTTGGATTTCCGCAACACTGAATCTCCGTTCACGGCATGCAGCGCAGCTCGTCAACCGTTCACTCAAACCCAGATCGGTTGAATAAATTCAGCTCTCGCCCAAAGATCTCATATCTTCGGTTCAAACGCACACGAGCGCCGTGTCAAGAAAAATATAACGTTTACGCTATCCAATTGCAGAACGCGCATTACATTATTACACAATAATAATATGTACGGAATACAGCTGATATTGAAAAAGAGTGGCGCACGAAATCACCGTGTGTGTGATCACAGGGTGTTCAAAAATTGTACAAATTTGAATTCAACATCAATATGTATAATAATATTCCAATAGTTTGTTTTCCGTCTTGGTGTTTTTTTGCATCAGCTAGCCGTTAACATTAATTATTGTCGGTCGCTTCAACATAATAAATCCTAAAGTTCAGAAAACTGTTACCCGCCACTGTTTATCTATTATTTACTGTTTGCAACTGTTTACACTATCACGACGTTAATATACTGTACACTGTTTTGGCCTGGAACTCACGCGTGCCCACACCCACACGCACACCCTCGAGTTCATTTTATTATCAACAAAATATACGACAATATTATACCAAAATATTATGCACACAAGTTGTGCAGTACCGCAACAAAGACCAAGACGACCATAACATTGGGCAATTATTATTTTACACACGCGCGTTATCCCGGATAGTTAATTCGAATATTATCTGCAAAACTTTCCGTTAGCGGCCAAAAACGATTTTGGCAAAGTTGTCCGCAGACACACAAGCCCCAAAAGAGGGGTACGGACCGTTGGGGGGAGGGTACAGACATAGAAAAATGATATAGTTATCTCCATTTTTAAATTTTCGTAGCTCGAGCCTATCAATTGCGCTCGTATGTTATCATATCGAGTTGATTGATAACGATTAACGATATCGATGATAGCGCTAGGTTATAAACGATTATTATTATTTTACTAAACTTGTGCGCCCGTTTGCTTTTTTTTCCAGCGTGTAACCGGACTTATTACGGCGAAGTGGCCAGAACTTACGAACTTGAAGTCCGCAGGCCCAGAGAAGACCGCTTGCCGTTCTTGTGCTACTTGAACTTCACCGCGGCCGGGGGCAAGTACGGTGACATCATACAGGTACCAGATCAGCATTGATAATAATAAAAAAAAATAATAATCATACATAAGAAATATCCTCTTACCTGGGTCGAAATATGTAATGCATGTTCAACTTATAACATCAATAATAGTAATATGAACTTCTACAATTTGTCTAGGTCCAATAACATAGACAACTAATCACCTTATCACTACCGAATTTTAATCAGTTCATCTAAACAAACATACTAGTAAAATTGTAGGAAACAGTTCTGGCAACGTGTAGGAAACGAGGCTGGTCTTAGACCTCAATTATAATTATTTCAGAAATTTAAAAATATTTATCAATCACAACTGTGAAATAAAAATTTTAGCTCCACCGGTGAACAATTTCTTCTGATACTACCACTAGAAATGAGTATTGGAATTTATGTTAACATTCAACAGTCACCCATTTGAAACAAACATACTTAACGAACGAGGGTTTCCACAATACCTTTTAACCGAAGAGTGAAGACTACTCAGCGGACCGGTCACCCGTCTTTTGATTTGTTTGGCGTTTTATTCACAAACGACTAATGTGTTTGCCAATTTTTACATTTTTCATCAAAACCCGTTCCTGTTGGTGATACATATTGTAGGCCGTTGCCGCCTGAAACCAATTGGGGTCGTTTATCCGAATCGACGCAATTGGGGTTTGATTCAAACCGTTTGAATGTAAATTTTAGTTGTACAACTGTCGTGACAAACCGGGTTGGAGGGAAAAATAAATTAAAACTATAACTTTTCGTCGCAAAGCGATATTTCGTTATTATATTATTACCGTTAAGTGTAACATTGGGTCTAAATGCGCCCTTCTAAAATGTTGTTTTCGTTATTAAAACAAAAGACAACCACTGACTAAGTTGGCGCGGCCGACCATTATAAGTGCGCTGGAGTGCCCGGGTGCATTTCTTTTGGGGAAAAGTTTGATTGAAAAAGTCATAAAACAACCAAAACGAATGTAGCTTTTATAAAAATAAAAAAAAACTAAATAAACACAAAAGCCATTTGGATCAGACATGGAACCAGAATAGTATTTTATATAAAAATGAAATTAAAATAATAAAAGCGAAAAATAATAACCGTAAAATAAACGAATAGAGACAAACAGCGAAGCTGCAATTTTCAATCTCGTTTTTTTTTTCTATACAAATGAAATTTTAAACTTTTATTATTATTAAACCGAGCGTCTACCTCGTTTAAACTTTGCTTTTTATTCAAAAAAAAAAAACAATCAAAGTTGACTGAGTGCGTTATTATTTGAAAAAAATATATCTATTCAAAGTAAATACATGTTGTTTGTATACGATTGTAAACTTCCGAGTTTATAAAACTACACAGCTAAAGTTTAATAGTAATACCGTCTTATAAGAGTTTATGAGATATGTGACAAAAAAATCCGCCATTAGTTACTTGAAAAGAAACCAATGGTTATACTGAATGGAATACTCGCATGAAAACTGTTTAATAAATATTTTCAAACAATACATACAAAGTTCCCGAGTGGATATTAAGTTTAAAAACCATTTTTGTAAATGAAAGCTTAAAAAATGATTCTACGCAAAGCCACTTGCGGTTTAAAGGAAAAGTATTAACGGTGGTAAGGTTATGATAAACTTAAAACAAAGCAAAATTACAACAATACTATTAAAACGGGACAAATGTTCTCGTTTGCCGGAAATGCATTCAGCCAATAATTCACATTAAAAACGTACGCTGAAATAAAACAAAAAAGAATTCTACCGCCAGATTTTGATGTTTGCATAAGTTTTTGCAAACAAACTTTGAATCGTCAAGTTCTTCTCGACAAAAATACACAAGGTCTTAGTTTTAAACACTTACCTAAATATATATATATATATATATATATATATATATATATTTGGAAACCAATGTAGAGTTATATATATTCAGAATTTCACAAACCAGATGCTTTTTTGATGGTATACTAAAGTTTAAAAAAGACGTTTTTCGCTTATCTGTAATTATTTTATTTGGAAATAAAAACCCAAGTCAGGTAAATACTAAATTAACACACACACGCACAAAATATTCACATGAAATCAAAAATTAAAAAATATATATATATTGTGTTCATATAGGTATATATTTTTAATCATCGGGTTCCCAAATATTTTATGATTGGTTTAGTGTGCGTTTCAGTTGAATTGGCCGAAATGGGTTGTTATCAGTTTTGGTCGAATAGGTTTCCGCCTTCTGTGGAGATCAAAAGCCAAGATCCGTTTAATCCGGCAAATGGAACAAAAACCGCGCAATTGTATCTTTCCTGAGCGTCGAAACCCCGAGTACAATATATATATATATATATACATTTTTTTTCCACGCTTGTATGCACCCCACACATGTGTATACGTATATATATATATATATATATATATATATAGACATACATTTTATATAAACACGGCCTGAGCCACGAGTCCATCATGAATTATTCAATCGGTCGTGTACCTGGAATGCACAATGCGCACTTATATCTGGTTTATATTTGCACAGGACTCCTCCGCATCTTTGTATTTATTGTTATTTTTTTTTTTTTTGTTTCCTCGACAAACACGTGTACATACAGTTGTGTTATTCAAAACAAACCCCCGAAGCTCCGGATACTTATCGAAAGAACACAAATGTGTAGTATCATGCACAAAAAAACGCGAAGCCCTCTTGTCTTTTCTTTACATCTTTTTTTTTTACCTAATGGTTGTCGCGTTCCACGATGGCCGTCTGATTTTTTTACTGCATTTAAAACGCTCACAGCGCATAGACCGAAAGCTGCTCGCTGCAATTATAAAAGGGATGATTTTTGTGAAAAATGAAAAGTTGAACAACCCGAGCCCCGTCGGGTAAATATCATTAGAGTTAAATAAAAACGACGCCGACCAGCCGCCTCCGTGTCGGCTTTGCAGTTGAACGGTCCATTCAGATCCGTTTTTCTTTGGCAGAACTTTAACCAAGTGCACGTTTTACTTGTGTTTACAAACACTTAGCGCGAAAACGCATTCAGCCGGTATAATGTGTACATATTTATAGAAATGAAAACAGTACTTAATATTTCTATATTCTGCACGCCACAAACGCCATAAACTACAAAGCGGTAACCAGTTACAAAGTGTTACTGAGTTATCGTTTCATGATTTATTTTCCCTATTATTGTCTATTGTCTTCGCAATACTAACAGCTGTCTATTACTATTTTCTATGCACGAACGTCCTCTCGGCGGTTTTTCAAAACGTTCCCTCTGGCTTAATTGGTACAAATTATTTACGAATATTTATGTATGTTTTTGCAGTATGGTCGTTTTTGTGAGAAATAGTAGTCACCGTTGTGTGTGTTCAATACCGGCGTGTCACATCAAAGCCACCGCAAGCACATTATATTAATTATCATAGCCATAATAAATATTGAAAACTGTTGTATCAAATCATTGTAATCAATGACTCGCACACGGGCTGTCCGACGAACGGTGAATGATTGATATTTAAATTTTAAACAGCTCGCGCAGGTGGTCCACACGTTTAAAATGAACAAAGAAACATTGTGTTGTTGTACCATAAAATATTTTGTACGATTTGTTTTGTTGATTCGAAGTTAAATATTTATTGAGTTTTACGAATAAGTATACATTTTAACGTGTTTGCTGTTTAATACGTTTATCTAGCGTTCACAACCCAAAGTGTCTATTTGATGACAAACGAAGGTGAAAAAACTGCTTTCTACTTTATATCCACGACCTCTTTACCGATATAGGATAGAATTTTTTTTAATACATAAACAATTTAATGTTCAAACTGTATATTATATAAACTTACATGCTTTGAGAACACCTGTATTTTGACAGTCAAAAGACGTTTTAGAACCGTTTTCAACCATATTTTTGACATTTTCATGTCTTAGCTCTGGCACATAACCAAAAAAATTGTTAGTTACAAATGCGTATCTGATAAGAGATTAGAGATAAGAGATATGGGGTTGGGGGTTGGGAATTAGTTCTGGCACATAACCGAAAGAAGTGTTACCAAAAAAGCGTTACGCTGTTATTTTAAATTTTGTGTTGTATTTACAACGATCAAACTAGAACTAAATAATAAATTCAAAATATTTTAAAGGGCCAAATTCTCTATGAATTGTTTCAGGCCGGATATTATAAAAACACTAAAATATTAGCCAGAAACTTGATATGTTTACTAGCCACCTTAGATACTAGCTTGTTAATATACTATTTCACTATCTATAATTCCACCACTACTTATAGGTATTTCCGAAATACTATTTCGGTGCTTCAACGAGACATGAAAATGCTCTTTCGTAATTGCAGACTCAGCTGAAAAAGGGATTTTTTTATAGAGATTGCAAAACATGATTTTAAACATTTTTTTTTTTTTGTATCTTTTTTTTCAGTTGACCTTCGATACGTTCACCGTGGGGAGGTTCGTTTCGTACACGTCTGACGGTTGTCCGGACGGGTACATGTCGATCAGAGAGTGGCAGTTACCGGACACTGGCGGTCAGTGGTGCGGTAGCGCTTGGGGATTCACGGTGTACTACAGCGAGACCAAGTCCATCAATTTGACGTTGATTCTCAGCAAACTCTCGGAACAGGTATTGCAGGACCACCGCTAAACGTCATGATCTAGTGTCATAATTTACCGAATCCAATACGCGTGTGTTTCCATCAGGGTATCGGTTACAATTTCGATTTCAAGTTGTCGTACAAATACCTGAAGAAGAGCGACGCGCACCTGAGGTACGGCAACAGCACGTTCCAGACGTGGCGGGGCCAAATGATAGCCGGCAGTTACTGCGACCGGATACTGGACCAGTGCGACCGGAAACCGTGCCGGGTGCAATCGCCCAATTACCCGGGAGCCTATCCGAGGAACGTCACTTGCTACTACCGCATAGAGCAGAGGACGGCGCCAAAATCCAAAAGGGCGTTGATCGTGGTCAGACAGCCGAACGCCCACAAGATACACATTAAAGATCAAGTGATCAACTACGACCGGAGCCAACGAACTCTCAGGTAATTTGCAAAGTGACGATTTCTCGCATAATGTTTTATTTTTTTTAAGTACAATAATAACATTTCAGTTCATTAACGCGGGTATGGAACAATGATACAAACGTAATGGTGTTAATAAGCGAGGCCTAATGTACTTTTAATGGGACGCTTAGCAATAATTATTTTGTAAATAATATGCGGGGGTGAGAATGAGGGGCTCGAGTTTATTTCCGTCTTATAATATTACACCGTAAACGGTGCCGCGGTTAAATGCAACTGTTTATTGTTTTGGCGGCGGTCGCGAGTAATGGCGCGACAACACAGAATATATTATTCGCTGTTCGTGAATCGCTTAAAAACACACAAGAACGTGATGTACATGCACATTGTACTCTTTTAGGTCGGCAACTGCCGTCAAACGAGAACTCGGAATGATTAATGGTGGTTCGAGAGGGTTTCTGTGGAAATAATATGTCGGTAAGTGGTAACCTTTCTTTTCGTATGCCACACCGTCAAGTGTTTCCCGCCGTGGCGCTCATGTTTGGTCTTCCGCGAACCCAAATACGAATTCACTGCATTTTATTGTTTATAATACTTATGTCTGTTTTTATTAAACGTCAGTTCAGTATTCAGTTTTCACAACATAGTAGTGTTATAGGGGAGAGAAAATATGTTAGGAGATAAAATCAATGGAATCATATTGGAAGAAAGTAACTTGAATATTTGTGGGTCTAAAGTTAGAATTTAGTAGTGAAGTAATTGAATAAAATGTGTATTTTTGAACCTCTTAAATTGTTAATTTGACAAACCACGAGATTATCTGATCAGATGTTCGAATGGCGCTTCTTTATTTTCCCGTAGTCAAGCTGAACCGTCTAACAAACAATTACGGCGAAAACCACGGAAACAGCTTTTGAGGTTTTCGCTACAACGTCAACTATGTCGTCCACCGTTCTTATGGTAATTGAATCCGGAGATTTGACATCTCAAAAATTGGTTAGACGGTTCAAGGCCAAATGTCGGGCCGGAAAGACCCCAATCAGACTTTTGACCCATCGAGATGCCGTGAAGATGATGTCAGACGGCGACAATAAGACATTGTCTAGCGTTGTTGCCGAGTTCTTCCGTTCAATAACTACCGGAAACGAAGATGTTAACCGTACTGGCACTGTACGTCTGGTGCTGACTGGGTTTCGTGATGCAGAGTTCCTCGAGAGCCTGATGGTTGTTCACGGGGTCCCCGTGGTCGCCGTTGTCTTGGTTTCCAAAGAACATCAGTCCAAGATAGACGGGCGTTGGTACAGTGCTCTGGACTTGACGACCAGCCAAATACCGTTATTCGAATACCGGTGGCCGGACGGCGACGTCGACGCTATAGTGGCTAGAGTGAATGCTCTGTTGGCAGGTTATCGTTCTCATTTGGACAATCAGTTAAACATACCGTCGGCCGACGACTTGTGTGTTGGACAGAAGACGTACTCGACGATCTTAGACCAACTGACCGAGTGCGTCTTAAGCGTGGAAATCGTCATGGACGCCATTTTGGAACAGTTGTGCGGATCTTTAGACGATGTCCACGAGATAGCTGCGCATTATGACAGGTGGATGACAACAGTGGTGGAAGAAGGCGATAGGGCAGCTGAAAACGCGGTTCGCTCACCTCGGTCTGCCCCGTGCCTTCGCCGAGCCACGCGAACCGCCCTATCATTTGCCGCCAGCTTTTGGCCCGCACCGCTCTCGTCGACCACCTGCAAACTTTCCGAATGCTTGGTGCAACACTTACGGACAGCCGCGGCCAAAACGTCCAAACGGCTGTCTACTTTGTCGCCGGAACAGTTCCGGTTGTGCTTGAACGCGAAATTCGCATCCGTCCAACGTTGGCGAGGATCGCCGGGTCCCGCCGGATCGGCCTGTCGAATAGACACGACACGACTCTTCCCAGCCGAATACCAAGAGTTGTGCCACCGTTTCTTTGCCGTAGATTTCCTAAAGGAACTGCTGGGCAACGACGACCATCCTTCGGTGTTCAACATCACTCACGTGGAACACCTAGAGCCTTACACATTGGCTCAGAGATTGGTCGAATACGCGTCGCGGTACTTCCACTATGAAGTCAAACACTTTGCTCTCACGGACACTTTAGTGTTTCGCTTTGTGGACGATATGCCAGGACAGTTCTTCGAGGACTCGTACGATTATCGATTGTCTGGCCCGAAGAGTTTTAAAGAGTACGCCTACGACGTTCTCCAGTCCATACGAATGAGGTACGGACTATAACAAAATACATGATCTGAAGACAGATCTTGAAGTTCTTAGCAGCGTCGTGGCAGATAACTCTCCGAAAAAAATGACACTTATTATTTTGCTATCGTTTCCAGAAACACGAATCCGTTGGACAAATGTTTCGGCAACTTGGATTACACGAACATAATAGGCACTACCAAGTATTACGTGACGTCCAGCGGCGAATCCAAGACCCTGCTCGAGGTGTATAGGCTGTACGACATGCGATGCGTGAACTTCGAACAGAAGCATAGTTTCAAAATGAACTGTTCCGACTTTTGGGCGAGTTCTCATCGCACCGACGACCCCGCCGAAGTGGAACTGTGTTTGGGATTCAGCAACGAGACGGTAGTGGCCGCTGTTTGGGTAGAAGGTCGATTCGACGTGACCATCCGGTTAAGAGACGGCCTCGCGTTAAGCTACGACCGAGATGACAATGCGGTCGTTCAGAGCCGAGGCCGGCACACTGCCAAGTATTTTATCGACGGCACCGTCCAGGGGACCTTTGACGACGCCCTGGAAGTAATGTACGACATTCGAGGCCGGACAGTCATGCTCGGCGAACGGGGCGAGACGGTGGCCTGGAACGACCTAGGCAAATTCGGGCTGTGGTCGTCCGATGAACAGCTGATACTCAGATTGGAAAATCCCGCAATTATCGCCGCTGCCGACTATACGCAGTGGTACGTTTACGGTGATGCCGATCGACTTGGAACGATTTTCGAGGTGAGAACAGAAGACGGCGCGTCGGTTCGAGTGCTGGACGACGGTACTACCACATACAAGGCAGGAGACGACGAGTACGATAGTTGCACAGCCGACCGAGTAAAATACAAGTGAGATATTGACAATTCAATGTATGTATGTATTTGTTCATTGGCAAAATACGGAGTTGTCAGGTATTAAACCGAAACAGTTGAGAGATATGCTAAATTTGAAAACACCAAGACACAAAAATTGATAACGCGGTTATGCTAAGAAGGCAAGTAATACATTTACCAACTCAATTAGGAATCCAAGTACAATTTATGTTCGTATTTGGCCAACGGATATGCGGATGATGTTTTTCATATAATTATTATAATATTGGTGTCGTCGATTTCTACATAGTTTACAAACCAAGTACGTGTTTTGTCGACGAAACCTGTCCGGATACGAATTCGTGGATGGCCGAGAGGTGCAGCAGATCCTTATGGAGTATGAAGGCAGGACGGAGACGGTCAACGATAGGTTTTTGTGTGTGCAGAGGCCAATCGCTGGCTCTAATGTTCACGTGGTCAGAACGCTGACCCGAGGATTTTTCGACAAGACAACCGCCGCTTCGTTGAACGACGCGATAAACGTTCATTTGGAGACCGTCAAACAACTGGGCGAAAGCCTGACACCTTGAGATCACAACGAATTGTCATAATATGTTAGATACATGTTATTAATATTTGATTCTTAACTCTAGAACCCACGCCAAAGTTCTAAATATGTTAGGTTTTTTTTTTTTTTGGTAAATTTCACATGACTTTTATACCGATATACCAATGTGATAAGTGATGACATAAATTAGTTTTTTGTCAATCGTATACTATATTAAGTTAATTTTTTTTTTAGTATACATCCTTCTTTTTATGCCTATTTCCGCGTTGTTGCGTTTACCAGTGTACCAGTGTATTTAGCATAGAATTTTGAAAGTAAATTTTCATTATCATTTATTATTATGCTGTTTAATACGTCTCAGCTTTCGCCGTGGTGTTGAACAATTTCTCTTTGAAACTAGAAAATAACAACAATAAAGGTTCAATAAATGCTCGACTTGAGTAAAAAAAAAAATAAGCTCTCACCTATTGTGGTTTGGAAATACACGGTCCTGGACGGTTAATATATATTATTAGGCCATAGGTAATATTTCAACTGGGGGATTCCAAAATACGACCCGCGTTGCAGCTCTGGACCTTGCGGGTTGTGTGTTTTAGAGGAGATGGCCCTAATAATGTATTCCGTGCATTATAATGTATTATTATAGTTTCCACCTGTATAGTCGTTATTGGCGGTCATTATTAAGCGGATCTCGTTGTTTGCCGTGGTGGCGACCGCGTTTTTATGTTTTCCACGAAACGCGGTTAATTAGTGCGACCAAAACACTTAACGAGACAGCAGACGATTCCCTTCCGGGCCAAGGGTTATTTATGAATATCGCTGCCCCTCCTCCCGCCATGATTTTCGCATTGTTAACCGCCAGCACTTAAGGTGGTCGTTAATGAGCGCCGTGGGACCTTTGTGGGACGCGAAGATTGTCGCTTCGCAATGAATCAAAGCCAGAAGACTTCTCTGGGATGTTTTACCTGCAGCTCCAGGTCACCGGTCACCGTCGACCCGGGCCGACCACTGCCGTTCACACTGTTGTATTATGAAAATTACTTGCATAATAATTATTACCCGTCGTTTTCTTTGGCCGCGGTCTTGCCCAGAAGTCGCGGTCGACCTACTCGGTTGAATTATATTGGACCGAAAAACGACAACCCGGTTAATCCCGTCGCTTTATCGTCCAGTGATACCTTAAGTTCACAGCATCCCTATCCCTTCTAGGTGTGTCTCCCGCAATAAGGATGCCTTCTACCTCGTTAAACGCACGTTTAACCATACAAAACGTGTACTAAAATCCGAATTCTATGGTTTTCTCGCCTCCCCCGAGGGAGTCCACAATTATTTTAGGCATCGCCGAGAAGAGATTATGCTATCAAAAGCTTAAACTTTACATTTGGAAATAATTTTTTGCCGACTAAGCTCACAAGTTTGTAGTTTCACTTGTTCCGCCTTACAATAACTTGCAAACGTTCAACTCTCCTCTGACACCGACCAACCTTAATCATCTTTATCAATTATTTTCAGTAACTCATTAACTTAATACACCTCAATCTTAACGCTATCGTTGCTCTTACCTTAAGAACCTCGTCGAAGTCGCCTCTTGCAGCACCCGATGTTCTGATCTATATAACCCAGGCGTCCAGTGCTCATCGCCCTCTATGATCTCAGTCTTGATCACCGGACGACCAAGAACTCGTTTCCAACGAACCGTCAAAGCGCAATAGAGACGTTGAAAATTCAATTTAGACAGTCGTTTTGTAGCCTTCAGACTACAACAGTTGCACGCGGTTCAAGACGCCAATGGGGCAGGCAAAAATACTTGAATTTTTAAAAATATACCGACCAAAAAAAAAAAGCACAAAACTTTCCGCTTCGTTCGGTACGCTAGTTCGAAAACAATACAACACAACATAGCGTGTGGGCGATATATTATACGGATAGTGTTTTATAAATGTTACATAGAGACCAACAGTCGTTAGTACCTCGGAGGGACCCAACAAAAGTACACAATAATTCATAACGAAAACGCGAGACACCAATAAATACGTGACCGATAGAGCTAAATCGTTTATTTATTTTTTATTATTATTACTACTATAATGTCATACAATGTATATATATATATAGGATACCACCGAATTTGTCATATCTCCACAATGTTTATATGTGTGTAAACGGTCGGCTTAAAATATTACCATAAGGCCACCGACAGACATTGTATAGACAAAAAACAAGAGTTCATAACTCTTATTATAATGGTTTTTTTTCCAGATACAAATAAACAATCTTTGTAAAAAAAATACACTCGAGACGGGAACGGTCTAGTTTTTCATAAATAAATATATTTACTTATATAGACATACAATTATTATGTATTATATTACATTATTATACAACGAAAAAATAGTAATAATAACGACAGCGATATAGAGAGATATTTTATAACTTGTATAACTTTTGTCGGGATGACCGCACACGGATAAAAATCTGTAAATAACGTTGAGAAAAATAAATATCAAAGAAGTATCTCAGTCGACTGTATGAATTTTTAATTGTTTCCTCGGGCGAAATTTAAATTAATCACACCGATTTAGCGGTTCGTTCTTCGAGTACTTAATTTAATATTTTTAATTAAGCTTTTTACCAACCCGGAAATATATAAACGCTTGCATATATATATATATATATATATATATATATATATATTTTTTTTTATGTAATTATCTTTTATTCACCGTGATTCAGTTGGTTGAACACTATTAGACAGCATTACTGTTTACATGTTTCAGGGTGTGGGACCAGTGCAACGTGATACAAGACTACTTGACAGTGTACGACGGGTCTTTGGCTACTGACCCGGTGCTGGTAAGGTTGTGCGGTGGCGACGTAGTGCCGGACATAGTCAGTTCTGGTCCCAACATGTTACTGGAATTCCATACTTCCGCATTCGACAACCCGTTCCATCCGGTACCGCTGAGCTACTTGCCGGGATTCGAGCTGGACGTACAGGTAATAAATAAAAAATCTCGATCAAACTCCGTCAAAGGCTAACCCGGTTTGTTGTGTTGGCGAACTGTAGATACTGTTTGTGGACAACAAATCTCCCAGCTACGCCAAGAACACCAGCCAATGCGAGTTCTTCATCAGACCCTACAACAACACCAACTGGGGTCTGCTGGACAGTCCAAGGCACTCGTTGCCTCCGAACACGTCGTGCAAATACCATTTCCAGGGGTTAAGCCATCAGACCGTGTGGCTGTCGTTCATCAAGTACCACGCGGCCAGCACCGACCCAAACGCCTATCACCTGAGCAACGAGTGCAACGCCAGACTCCGGATATGGGACAAAGTCGCGTCGCCCAAGACCAAAAAGGTGCGTTTTAAAATATACATTTTTACTAATAATTCTATGAAAACGTTTAAAGCATAAACTTGCAAAGCGAGAATGGTTTTGTCAGCAGAACCCGTGGTGAAGCATTAAAATAGCTATTCACCAATAATAACCAAAATATAAAATATATTGAAAACACACGGTTGTAAAATAAATGCTTTTTCAACTGACGTTAATAATCATAAAAACCAGAAAATTCAATAGCAGTTGTTGTATATTTTTTTAGGCCAAAACTGTGCTGTTGGGCGAGTTTTGCAAGGAACAAGAACTGCCTCGCTTGTGCGATCACGCCCTGTTGGGCAACGAAACACGACACGTTAGGCCATGCACTGCCAAAGAGTCGTATACTTCGTCTGCGGACGAGCTGACCGTGGAGATTTTCCTGAAACAGGGCTCTGTGCTGTTCCCGCTGCAGTTTCTGTTGCGGTACGAATTCGTGGATCAGTCGGTGGAACAGCTGCAGCTGTCCGTGCCGGCGACGGCCGTGTGCGATCGCACGTTCACTTCCGGTGCCGGCCCGTTCGGTTCGCCCAAGAACGTGTTCTTCTACGGCCGCGGCGGCCGCCGGAACCTGACCTGCGTGTTCCGGTTCGTGCCCGCCACGCCGAACGAACGTGTCCGGATCACCGTGTCCCGCATGCACGCGGACGCCGCCGGCCAGGCGGGCTGCTCCACCGAAACGGACGCCCGGACCGACAGGATGTGCTGCGCGTACGCGACCAAAGACGGCGCCAGCTCCGGCACCGGCGTCCGCGCTCTGCTCACCGTGTCCCATTACCCGTGGCCCGACCTGGAGTTGCCCGTCGGGTGCGCGTGCTCGAATCCCCGGAAACCGCATGTCATCGAATCGTACCCGGGTGCCGCCGTTCGCGTCGAATTCACCGTCCGCGACATGAACGTTACTCAGGACCACAGAGACTTCGGGTTCGCCGCCGAGTACGCGTTCGTCAAGATGCCAATCCACGTGACGGACGCCTGCCGATCGCTGAGCAAAGACCGACGACTGCGTGGTCCGGGCGGCGTCATACAGTTGGACGCCGGCATCGTTAACGGCGGCGGCAGACGAAACTGTACCGATTTCCCGTGGCTGCTCGAACCGTCGGCCGAAAGCGGCGTGAGTTGGCCACGACGTACCGGCGGCTATGTCTTTCTGAAACTTCGTGGGTACGAGATTCCGTCACACCGGTGGCAGACCAACTCGTTCATGTGCGCTACCCGGAACCGCGTGGTCGTGTATTCCGGCGTGGGCCAAAAGTCGGCCAAGGTCATATGCCCCTTCGACCTAGGCACCGATCACCAATTACGCAGCTCGTTCGAGACGTTCTCGCCCGGCTGGACCGAGACGCTCACGGACGCCCAACAACTGCGCACAGATTCCAGAAGCGTGGCCGTCGAATTTTTGGAGCGCGAAATCGGATCGTACGCCGTCACATGGATGGAAGTGTCCAAGATGCCGCGCATCATGCCGTCGACCAACGTGCACGCCATGCCGTCTAACGTGCATCCCGAATGCGCCTACAAGTAAGTCCGTCGACTCTATACTATAAAGGGCTTAGCACTCTAATAGATTTCTAACTTGAATTCTATTCTATGATTTTCTGAGACTTCCACAGGAATAGACAAAATACAAGTATTCCCTGTTCTTTTAATGAGATATTTGGTGAGCAGTGTTTCATCATGATGACTACAAAATGTTGTTTAATTCCCTTTTAATAAAACCTAAAATTGTCATTGCTTTACTAAAAATGTTATGGAAATTATGATTTCTATGCAAATTTTATTTTTAAGTAATTTTTTATCACTACTGCTTACAGATATTAGTATATTCCCATTTATACTTACTATTAGATTGGACATTTTTTAATTGTATAATAAACATATATTCGACTCTTTTTTCTTTATCACTAAGTACTCTCAACTGTTTGTGATCGACTAATTACTCAAGTCCTCGACATATACCATTTGCACCAGATATCCAGAAGCATATGACATAAGAAGTATGTCATGTGCTACAGTTATGGTCGTCTAAACTATAATTTTTTTAGCATGATAAGTGATAACGAAGACGCCTAGCCTGTTTGAAAAAAAAACTATTAGTTAAATCATATACTATCAATATTATGCAATTATTATAAACTGTTAATCTTTAAAGAATTATTAATCAGACCGTTAAAATGCATGCTCATTATCCTAAAACCAGTAAACTTTTCTCTTCAAAACATGTATACAGTATACGTTTCGCTTCATTATATTATCACTGCCACTAGCATTCATAATTTATAATGTGTGTACACGTATGATATGCACAAAACAGAATCCGCTCTGTACGGACAAGCAGAATATATTTCAAATATTTGATTCCATCTGAATTATTTTTCTCTCGTGTATATTTTTGTATGCAGTTCGAAGGTTTTTTTTTTAATTTTATACAAAACGAACGTTTACAAAGGTAAGGGTTTTTTTTTATTATTATTATTAAAAAAAACTTCTAAAAAGCATTGAACCAAAAAAGGATAAGAAAAAAATATATAATTTCTATATGTAAATACATGTAACTCATATGCCCATACATAAGAAAACTGATACGTATAGTTATATAATATATATTATATAAATAGTGACTTTGGCTCAATGAACGATCATTCAACAACTACAATACCGTACAACGTATACTGTATGAAATTACTCTTTAGGCACTGTAAACTCTATCCACATTATATGATAGACCGCATAGTGTACTATACATTTTTATAGTACACTATAACTATATTATAGATTTTTTTTACAGTGAAATACAACATTATTAACAATAGGGAGAACAAATAATGGTCGCTAAGACTACGTTGACCGTGTATAGTCTAAAGCTATTAGATGTATTGCAGTATAATATTTGCTATGTTCATATTGTTATAAATACTTGAAAAGTTATCCGACTTTACCATTTTTATTATGACTTCCATTGTGTGTGCTACGTGTACTTTACAACACACAATCCTAGATTACTTATTTTATTCTCTCATAGTTCAGTTAGAGTAACACAACAATTGTTAACACAACTATTATTATCTACACGACGATTACTTCTTTGGTGTTTGAATAATAATAAATCATATTATCTCGATTAACTTATTTATAATTGTTGGGGTACGCTGCACTGTAATAGCTTTGTCATAGTCAAACAGCAACGGCTATCCTGTGACGCACTAGGTCTTTTAACCGTTACAATTATACTGGCATACTTGAGTGTAATTTTCACTGGAATTGTCGTTTTGTCCTCATCTAGGTGCCCAGAACTTAACGCTTGCATCAGTTCCAAGTTCTGGTGCGACGGCGTGCCACACTGTCCGATGGGCTTCGACGAGGATCCGACCAACTGTGCAATCAGCTCGGGCATCGTCAACCTCACCTACGTTGGCGTGCTGGGCGCTTCGGCTCTGGTGCTGTTCACGTTCACTACGGTGGCTGCTGTCGCTTGTCTTAAGTACAGGGCCAAGCGGTCAAGGCGAGCCGAAGACGGTGGTCGGAGACGTCGGTCTTCGCAAAAGTCCGGGGATCCCATGGCCGCCGCCGCGGACAGGCTGCACGGCAACAAGATGACGTTCTTGGATCAGAACGGCGGTGCCATGAACAAACGATACCCTTCGTCGTCGGACGACCTGTACTTGGAATGCAAGGACAGCGTGTGTTGACAAAAGGACGGCCACGACGAACCGGTAGAGACTACCGTTTGACACTGTACTCCGGCTTTGACTACAGCTGTCGTTCAGACTCGCTAAGCCGCCAGACGGCCACCGGGTTGTTTTTAACAATAAGGTTTCGCCCTTTAGATATGTTGCTATTTGATCCTTTTCCAGAAAGAGGCACAAATCCATTCCCTTCGACTAGAACAATCCCAAGAACAGTTCCTTTACCTTTTGGTCGTTTGTATTCTCGGCGTGGTCGACATTATTAACCGTTTAGTAGGGCCCTCGACTACATTCCTTGAATGTTTGCTGATTGTTCAATCAGTGCCAAATGTCACGGTCGTGGTTTAAGCGATTCTGTCTGGGTTTTTCCGCTTCCTAAAACTATCAATCGCTCAACTCTTAGTACAATTGTTTTACAGCCTAAGTAATAGATATCTAAAACATACGCCTTGTCCGCCTGTACGAAACGAATCAGACAATTGCAACAGTGTATGAACATCGCAATGCTTTATCATACGTCATCATCAAACCGTTTGGTCCGCCGTAATATTAAAACTTACATTTTGGACTTTATTTCCCATTGCTTTAGGACGGGTTTCGTTTGAAATAATCTATTGGTTGTTACGATCAGTGACAATCACATTGACTGAGTACTAATATTAATTATTCACGATACCGCTTGTGCGTTATTACTTGAATATTATCTCTATATTTTAACTGTGTATAATATTCGTGTAAATAAGTTACTGTAGTTTTTTTTTTTTCAAAATCCCTAATGACTATTAAGGACTAATGACCCTAATGATTAAACGCTTAAGATTGTTTTCCATAATATTGTCAGTGAGCTGTGCCACGCAGTACTCGCTGTTTCGCGTGAATTTTCACTGTTTGTTTGAACTGTAGAAATATACATAATATTTAATACAATTTCCTATAAATACATTTAAATTATATTAGTGGTATTGACTAATTAGTATAATACAAATTTTATTTCACAGCTAACGCTGTTAGTAAATAACAAAAAAAAAAAATAATAATAATCAATAAGAATAGTTTGTATAAATATTAAAAATAGAACACCAGTTATAATTTAAATGTTTTACATCATCTGAAAGGATTTTCTAGTTGTTACGGTCTTAAAAGTGTGCATACGGTATTGTAATTTACCACCAGTCATTTGTATAATACTATAATAAGTAATAATAATAGTTAACATTGTAAACGTGTAGGACAAACATAAGTTTATGCAAATTTAATTATTATTTCCGGTTTGTATTAATCGTTAGCTGTAGTTTGAAGAAATTCAAGCGAATTTATATATATATAAATTGTTGTTCGATGTATTTCATGTAATTAACTAATTATTGGATTTCGAGTTTTGCCGTTGTTGTTTCTATTAAAGCGGATACGGCGAACCATGTCAATGGAACCCACGTGTTTGCTTACCACTTCACAACGGTGAAACTTTTATGTAAGAATCATAAATAACTTGTTATAACCTTAATATTCAATTAAATAATTTTACCGAAATTACATTACTATTATTACTACTTTACATTATAATAATTAATATTACTATTATTACTTAATTAATATATAAAATATTAATACCTTTTTTTTTTATTATTATTATTATTCAATATTTGTATACATTTAAAATAATTTTGTTTTTATAATCTCGTGAAACTTCGATGTTACCATAATAATACTGTTAAAATATATTATATATGTATATATAATATATGTATGTATGTTAATATTATACGTTTTTGTTTATATACTTAAAATTATAGCTATTAAACACTATATTACTGTTCTCGACCTATGTATATATTATACGGACATGTGCTCATTACTAATAAATGATATTACAATATAATATATACATATACTGGACGTTGTAATCGTTTTAAAAAAATGGTACACATTTTTTCCCTTACAACATAACTTCTAAAATAAAAGCATTGGTTTAATATTATACAGAAACGGTATGTTATCAAAAGTGAACGAGGCTAAAGTACATTATATTATATACAACTTCGAAAATACTAGATAAAGTTTGGGTGGTAAGTTAATATTATTATTATTTTCTTAGCATTGAAGCGGAACTACGAAGGTATTGGTTTTGTTTAGTTGCACGTTTACTTATTTTCGTCTTATTATAATTCAATTGATTAAATGCCATTTTAGTGGTATTTTAGACATAAAAGCCTTAAAAATTACACCTACTTTAGATGGTCCGATTCAAACACTGTAAAGAGGTTCGAATTATTTGACTATAGACATGTGTTTTGTAACTATACGTTTAAAAATATTCGTCTACAAAAAAAAATATCTCTACCCATTTGCCGGTATAGGATACATTTTTTTACACACAATAGCACATTGTACAGCTTGCGAGTGGAAAACATAAACTGCCGATTACCGTGATAAAACTTTACTAAAAAAATATTTTTTAGTTTCAGTTTACCTACAGTTTTTACCCTCAATAGAATGTCGGGCAAAGTGTTTTTCGGGTTTCTTGTTTTTTTTGTAATATTCAATAACAGCGAATGTACATTGGCATACTACGTGGACAAAAAAAACCTGGCTGACGTATTAATAGCACTTCTAGGCCACTCAAAATGGGCACATATCACAGATATAGGAGCTAAAAATCCATATTCCAAAAATGAGGTTCCTTTTACTGGGAAAGATCTATTTAATTACAGAGGTTTGTTCTCCCGAAATAGAAACATTGTCAACTCTTATGTTAGTGTCGAAAATGTGTACAAAAAATATTTTATGGTCACTAGCTTGTTAGCATGTCTATACGCGAACGTGACAGATAAATTTACATCGTTGATTAGAATACTTTTACATTTAAGTGCAAGCCAAAGAAGACAAATGAAAATGAGAACATATTATGCGCGTAAAAAGGAAAGAAAACTGGAAAAAGAGGCTCGTCAACAAATGCAAAGTAAGCGCTTGAAAGCTGAACTACATGATCAATCACATGGTCAAATTAGTTATGATTCGGAAGACAATATCCATACATCGGTTTTAGAAAAAAAAATTAAACAGAATAGAATTAATGTCAAAGATAAAGTTGATAGTGATGAACTTAACTATAAAACTTCATGGAAAATTTTTAATTTTGCGTATCAAAAGTTATTAAAAGGTCAGCAAATGTTTGATTATATGTATGATGCATTAAATTATTTAATCAGGTTGATTCCGCCTGAGGAATATTATTTACATATTAACATAGAAGACATACAACAAATATTAGTTTTGATGCAGTGGTACAAAGACGTATCGAAAAATTTAAAAAAAATTCTTACAACTTTTATCGGCGAAGACGATGTTGACTACAAGTTAAAAAACAGTCGGTTGTCCTCAAAATTGTTCCAAGCCATTCATTTCAAGTATCAATTTATGTGGAAACCGTTTGTAGCCAAGTGTTGCATACTTCCAGAGAATGACTACCATCACACCATAAAAGAAATAGAAAAATTGCAAAACAAGTCTCCGCGTCTAGAAACAATGGATATGATGTATCAATATGGATCTCAAATTGAAGAGCTCATCAAAAATGTCATCAGTAACTACTATTTGAATTTAGGTTTCGTGTTTAGTTATCCTGATAACCCAAATGAATAATTATTTTATAAATTATAATCACAAAAATACACGTTAATTTATTACGCCAAACTTTTTACTTCTTATTCAAAATCCATCAATTGCATCATTAATTTGAAAAAAGCAAATACAGTTCCTTGGATAGTACTATGTATGGATATATTGGATACTATATATGGATAGTAGGTTCTAACTAGTACAGTCCAAACCAAACATAGTTTAAACCATCACAGCAAAAAGTAGTATACATAAGTGAGTAGTGAGTAGTAGTAGTAGTAGTAGTAGTAGTAGTAGTAGTAATAAGTGAGTTAGGAAGGTTATTTACGAATAAAAATACAAATATCGATAAAACCATTATATATAATCACAATTATGTGCTTAAACATATATTTTTTTACTAAAGTGGATACGAATAGGGTTAGGTCAGGTTCGTATAGGCGATCATCTATAAAAAATATATTGCCATAGTCGACCATAGATTGTAAATAACAAAATAAAGAAAATATTTTCTTTAACTGTGGACTGACTATTCACTCACACTAAGCAACCGAGAAATTGACTACAGTCAAAAGTAATTTTCCCCTTATTTTTTATTTTTATTTTGAGTTTTCCTTAATAAAAAAAAAATGTTTGACTACAGATTTTTGAAAAAACTATGTATGTTATAGTCCTATTTTAGATCTACCTTCGGAAAATGTTCAAACTTCAATCACTAAAATTCTGCTTGAAAACAAAATAAAGAAAAAAAATCTAGCCTTTCTTGGAGAATCGGTTTATGATAAGCTTTAAGTTTGTCAATATTTATCAGCAGTACTATGTTTTTAGACTAGTCCATACAAATTTAGAAGTTATGAAGTGCCGTAATTTTATGTAAAAAATATGTACATTTTTGGAGCTTATCTCGAAAAACAGGTACGATTTCTGTACTTAAAAGCTACATATAGAAAAACGTGTAAGTTAAAACAAAATAGTCATAGCAAAACAAATGTTGATATCGTTAAAAAGAGAAGAACTTACTCTAGCTAAACTAGTTTAAAACTTTAATATATTCTTAAATAGGAGCATTAAAAAAAGTAAAAAAATGTCAAAATTAAAACAAAAAAATCGTGAGAGTTGGATTAATAATATAAAAAATCCTCCCTTACCCAACCCTAACCCCAAAGTAATTTTTAAAATTAAATAATGATTACATAAAACAAAGCTTATACTTTGTATAAGGTTCAAAGTATTATTTTTTCAAAGATTAAACGCTATTTTGGTGGTATTTTAGACCTAAAAGCCTTAAAAATTACACCTACTATAGATTATCCGATTTAAATATTGTAAAGAGGTTCGAGATATTTGACTATAGACATGTGTTTTGAAACTATACGTTTGAAAATATTCGTCTACTAATACAAATATCTCTACACATTAGCTGGTATAGAATACATTTTTTTACACACACTAGCACATTGTACAGCTTGCGAGTGGAAAACATAAGTTGCCGATTACCGTGATAAAACTTTACTAAAAAAATATTTTTTAGTTTCAGTTTACCTACAGTTTTTAATCTCAATATAATGTCGGGCGAAGTGTTTTTCGGGTTTCTTGTTTTTTTTGTCATACACAATAACAGTGAACGTACATTGGCATACTACGTGGACAAAAAACACCTGGCTGACGTACTAATAGCACTTCTAGGCCACTCAAAATGGGCACATATCACAGATATAGAAGCTAAAAATCCATATTCCAAAAATGAGGTTCCTTTTACTGGGAAAGATCTATTTATTTACAGAGGTTTGTTCTCCCGAAATAGAAACATTGTCAACTCTTATGTTAGTGTCGAAAATGTGTACAAAAAATACTTTATGGTCACTAGCTTGTTAGCATGTCTATACGCGAACGTGACAGATAAATTTACATCGTTGATTAGAATACCTTTACATGTAAGTGCATATCAAAGAATACAATTGCAAAAAAAAGCAACTTGGGCACGTAAAAAAAAACGAAACCTGGAAAACGAGGCTCGTCAACAAATGCAAAATAAGCGCTTGAAAGCTGAACTACATGATCAATCACATGGACAAAACAGTGTTGATTCGGAAGACGATGTCCATACATCGGTTTTAGAGCAAGAAAGTAAACAGAATAGAATTAATGTCAAAGATAAAGTTGATAGTGATGAACTTAACTATAGAACTCCATGGAAAATTTTTAATTTTGCGTATCAAGAGTTATTAAAAGGTCAGCAAATGTTTGAATATATGTATGATGCATTAAATTATTTAATCCGATTGATTCCGCCTAAGGAATATTATTTACATATTAACATAGAAGACATACAACAAATATTACTTTTGGTGCAGTGGTACAAAGACGTATCGATTAATTTAAAAAAACTTCTTCCAACTTATATCGGCGAAGACGATGTTGACTACAAGTTAAAGAATGGTCAGTTATCCTTAAAATTATTCAAAGCCATTAATTTCAAGTATCAATTTACGTGGAAACCGTTTGTAGCCAAGTGTTGCATACTTCCGGAGAATGACAACCATCACATCATAAAAGAAATAGGGAAATTTCAAAATAAGTTTCCATGTCTAGAAAAAACGGATATGATGTATCAACTTGGATGTCAAATTGAAGAGCTCATTAAAAATGTCATCAGTAATTACTATTTGGATTTAGGTTTCGTGTTTAGTTATCCTGATAACCCAAATGAATAAATATTTTATAAATTATAATCATAAAAATACACGTTAAATTATTATGCCAAACTTTATAATATTCCATAGTCAACATCCATCATTTGCATCATTAATTTGAAAAATAGCCAATTATTTTTTTTGGTTTGTCGGTGTTTATCAGTAGTACTATGTTTAAAAAATATTCAATACAAATTTGGAATTAATTAGACTATTTTTAAAAAACTTATGGAG